TTTTATATATATAAATACATATTTATGTTATATATATGTAATCCTGCTCGAGTAGCAGGTTCTCTGTAGCCATGCAAAAGCAGGGCTGTTCCGAGGCCCCTCTCCCCTGGCCAGCACATTTCCCTAACCCCCAGCAGCCCACGCCATCTCTCCCCCTGCACAGGGTACTCGGGCCCCCTCAAAGAAGTCCCCCACGAGAAGTTCAACGTCACCGCCATCCCCAAGGGCTACCGATCTCCATGGCAGGAGCTCCTCGGTGACAAGGACAATGCTGTGCATGGAGAGAACCAGCTGCCCATGAGACCCTCTCTATGGGACTTCAGGAGCTTCAACAGGTAACACTGGCCAAGGAGCAGGCACTGCCAGCCTGTCCATCCCTTGGCCAATCCCTTCAGCCTCAAGAAGCACCTACCATCCTGCCAGGGAAACGCGATGGTCCATGCCCTCTTTCTGCACCACAGGGGAGCAGGAAGGTCTCAGGTTGCTCTTTTCCTGCTCAGAAGCTTTTCTGTGGTTCCTCTGCAAATGTCCCTGCCTCCAGCAGCTCCCCAGATCTCCTCTCAGCTCCACCACTGGGCTTGTGCAGCCTTAAGCAGCTTGATCTCACTGGGTAACCTCGGGGATGAAATTTGGGAGGACTAATTCTCATGCACGTGGTCCTTGAGAAGGAATCGCTGCTGTTCCCAGCTGGGCTCAGCTCTGGGCTGGGTGGAGGAATGACACAAACAGTGCCAAGTCTCTCTCCTAATTTCCTGAAGGTATCCAAGCAGCTGCTGGAAGCGGTGAGGCTATAAGGTTAATCTTCCCACAAGGTGCTAAGAGGTCAGCAGATTCCTTCCAAACACCTGCTTGAGATTGAAGTCTCCAGGCCGGGGAGCTTCTGGTGGCTCAGCCTGGCAAGCTCCATGTCCTGTGGCTTCTTCCAGTGGAGCATGGCTGCTGCCTCCTTGCACCTCCAAATTATACTGGGGTTGAGGCTGGGACCCTCAAGCACTGAGGTTGAGGCTGGAGCGGAGACCAAGGCAAATCTCTCTGGAAAGGTGCTTGGTGGGGATCTAGAACATGGAGATCTGGTAGTAGCAAAGCACCAGTAGCCCAAGGTAGAATAATGAGAACCGAACTTTTAAGCTGAACATCATCCCAGGGAATCTACAAACTGAGGTCCTGGCTCTCCTCCTCACTGAAAGCTTCTTTCATGAGGATGAGTATGTTAGTCTTGGTGGCCTGGCCAAAGTCACCTTCCAGTAGGCAAGCTCCCCCTGGAACTCCCTAATGGGACACAGCACTGCTCCCCGCCAGACCATCTGCCATGGTGCTGGGCCTCTGCAGACGGCAGCTTTCCTGAGCCTGCACCAGGGTTGGATTTGAGTCTTGGGGGAGACGACTGCTGCACTTTGAATGCTTGGCAGAAGGGGCTGTGGGGGATGACAACCCCTCTGCATGGGAACAGCATCTCAGCCCGACTGCCAGCAGAGCTGAGATGATGCTGCCTCCCTTCGCTGCTCCCCTCTCCTCTCCCTCCGCCCTGGGGCTTTGCTGTGGGGCCTGGCGAGGTGCACAGCACAAGGCTGCCGCGTGTTCAGCCTCCTCTGTGTTGCCCCTTTCGCACCAGTGAAAGAGTGATGGCGCACTGGTCTGCACTGGAGTGGGGCGGAGGGAGAGAAGGAGGAGGCAGCGGGGTTAACAGAAGGGACAAGAACCCATGGGCAGCCACAGGCAAGCACGGGGAAGCAAAGGGGCTTCGTTAGCTATTCCCTCAGGGTCTCCTCCCCAGTTACTCAGCCACCTTGAGCTCTCCTGGAGCAATAACATGCGGGGAGGTGCCGAAGGGGGAGAGCAAGAAGCTGCTGCTGCAGACACTTGGCTCTTTTCTTTCAACATTTAGCCATGTTCCCGCTTCAGTATTTATTTATGGACAGGGACTGAAGCAAGGGCATGTTTCTTAATAATGCTTTACCCTGTACCATTTCTCCCCTCTCACATACTGCCTTTCTATTTAAAGTCTTGAACTGTTATTTAATACAGATGGATGCTAATTTAACACCAAGCCTCTTGCCACCTCCTCTAATTCTTCACCGAGGCATGAAGATTCAGAGAGCCAATCTGCTTTTAACTGGGCTTTTCAGGATCTTCCAAGCTGTTCACCATCTCAACAGCAACTGCGTTAAAGCAGATCAATTTATTCCCAACTTCAAATGTTCAGGCTGTGATGCAAAGACCTTCGGCCACCTTGCTAAGGTGTGCTGCCTTAAAAGAGAGTGAAAGCCAAGCTTGGAAAAGGACTGCCTTTTCCCAGAAGGCAGAAAGTTTCTGGAACAAACCACTCTCATTTACCTTTCCCTCCCTTATTTCTCCTCTGTTGCAAAACAGTGCCACGTTACTCATGTTCAAGCAGCGCTTCCCAACACAAACATTCCCAGCTATGCCTCAGTGATAGATCAGCCTCCATGTGCTGTTCCAAAACCAACATTCTTGGCTTTTTGGGGGCTGGCACTCTCTTCCCCAGTCCCTTTCCACATTTCTCCAGAAAGGGATGACAGCTCTTGCCCCCACACTGCTCCTCCTGTTAGTCATAGTTCAAGAGAAGCTGTCTCCCAAAAGGCAGACTGGAGCCAGGGCCAAGAGAAAGACATTTGCCTTCACATGTGCTAGAGCGATCAGGAGGCAGCACGATCAGCCTCGGCCCTCTGCAGAACACATTAGCTGCTGACAAGTCACTTTCTAAAGACCCGGGAGTTTGTCACTGTCACCTGCTCTCTTAATCTAACCCCTTTCACGCACAGCACATCTCTACTGCTGTTGGCAGAGCCCATCAAAATAGACTCTGGTAAAGGTAACACCACGCTTCTTCCCCCCCTGCACAGCCAGTGACACTCAGGCACCAAACTTCACTCTCCAGGCTTGCCAAAGCTTGAGTTGAGGTTGGCTCTGTACAAGAGAAGCACATCACTGGGCTAGCAGAGGGTCTAATAGCATGCCGGGGAGGAAGAGGAGGGTTGTCATTTGTTCCAGGCATTGGTCAGTTGCTGCTGGACTCAGAGTTAGTAAATCCAGACCTGCTTTTTGTATCACCTTTACAACATACGCAACCTCTCCTCATGACATGCTAAGTTTGCTGCTTCTTGTGCCGCAGGACTCCCACCCCATTTGACAGAGCACTGGTCAGCGAGCTGTTCTCTGTGCCTGCCGTGGAGCTGGATCATCTCAGCGCTCTTGAGGTGATTTCCCACAGACGCAACTTCAACAGAGCACCGCAAGGCTGGGTGCGGATTCTACCAGAGAGCGAAGAGCTGTAGTACGCGCACTCCCTTCCCCGTTGCCATGGATGCTTTTCTCGCTAGACTCAAACATACTTCGCACAGTAGGGGAGAGGGGACTAAGTATTCTTCGTGAAAGCAAAGCTAGTGGTCTCGGGTTGTCATCTTCTTCAACCGGATTCGAACAAGCTCAAGACTGGGACCATTTTGAATTCCCCTCATACCAGCCATTGTCACAAGGGCATTTAGTGCTAAGCTAACCAGCCAAGTTCTTGTCGTTAATGCAAGCAGATCCCCGTAAGCTCCTGTACAAAATATCCCGTACAACCTGTCCTCTTCCCTGCCTCATGGAAAATGGCAGGACCGCCAGCTGCAACACACCAAACTGTCTTGCTGCTTCTTCACCGACACACAAGACCTGCTCCGACAGCTGGTGCCTTTGTAGAGAAATTCCATCTTCAGGACAACTCCACATCTGTCATTCCAGTCAGGACAGCGAGAGGAGGTGATAATTGAAGGGCAGCAGCAAAACAACTTACTGGAGGCACTGGCCTGTTAAAAGCAGTTGCCTTGGGCTTGGCTGGACAACAAAAACAAATCAGGAACTGGGAATCTGCCCGTTTACCAACACACCACAACCAGGATATATGGGAGAGGAATACTGGGAGTTGGAAACTTGTGTCCCATTTCCCACAAGCTACTGACTAGCACTTGGCAGCTGATATTCTCCCCTTCCTAGTGCTATTTGCATGCCTTGCTTAAACACCTAAGCCCTTTGATTGACTTACACCAGATTTGCTTCATATAGTTGGTCAGTAAGGATCAGGCCTTGCCTGGACCCACTGCACTGCAGAATTGCACCAGTCTGAAGATACTGCGAGGGTATTCTGGTAACTTCAACATCAGCAAGCAGCAGAGCTGTGACTACAGCAAGCACAGGCTTCTCTGTGAATGCAAAAATCAGCAGTGAGGATTCAACTACACAAATGTTTTCAGCAGTGACACACAGTGGGACATGCAGCTAACAACAGTCTACAGGACAGTCATCAGAACATCTGGAAAATCCTGCTAATTGCTAACAAAAATCTCCAACTTAACACAGACTTTCTACAACTGCTTTTGTCAGGTTCTTAATGTTACCCTTATTTCATCTTGCAAAAGCAGGAGCATCAGGATAAGAGTTTCTTTTTCGACCACCATGGTTAAATCAGGCAAGTAAATTTCGTGGTAAAAATGCAGTTAACAGCTGCCTCACTTGTGAAGTGCATTTGTAATGCTGTGCAGACAGATGCGCAGAGCAAATCGCACACAGGGATTCTCCTGCCAAAACACACCATTCAGGAAGGAAACTTTCATTGCTCTCTTTTTCCCACAGAAGGAGGGAACAAGCAAATGCAAAGAAAAAAGGTCCATTCCTTAAACATTAAAATTCTATGATGCTCAACTGCTGTCCCGTTCCAAACCCCTCTCTTTCCTCTTTTACCTTTCAGTTGAAGAACCCATGTACCCCTGGGGACCTGGCTGGAAATAATAAATAAATTGTAATAACGTAAAGCCTGCTTGCACTTGAGATCTGTCTGCACAGCGCTCACGGGCCCTGACTGCAGAGACTCGGGGACAGAGCAGTGGCAAACGCTGCAGCCCTCCGCCACTCACCAGCAGGCCTCTGCCCATCCTCCAACACAGCCCTGGGATGGCTCTTACCTGACAAAAGCTAAACTAATTACCTGCACCCAAAGTCCAGCTGTTGCTCCAGAGAAAACCAGCCTGCCTGCCAGTCATAGCCCTGGTGCCACGTGTGCTATGTCACCTCCAACAGCCTGGCAGGGCTGGCGGCATCGGTGGCACCCAGGGGCATCGTACAGGACAGCACATAAAACTAAAAGTGGACCTGCTGTCATTGCCCACTCTGCATCCTGGCCTTGGCAGCAGCCAACTAAAAATCAAAGTCCTCAGTCACGTGCTCTAGGAAGTAGGGTCTAAGCAAAGTGTTGAAAAATTCAAATATTTTAATGTATTTTTTTTAAAACAAGCAAACGAAGCTTCAGGACAGGTCCCATCATGTTTTGCTTTACAGAAAGATGTCCACAGACCCATTGCATGAAAGCAGCTGACATACAGATAAATTTAAAATCCTCCAGCCACGTGTATATAGATCTTACTCAACGGCAGGCTCCACGCAGGACACAATTGCTCCTGGGCAAACGCTACAGAGCACAGAAAGAAAAGTTTCTTATCAAAGCGAGACGAAGTGGGATCTTATCTCACAGTTTAAGATGAGACTGTATCCACAGGCCTTGAAAGCCCCAATCATGTTCCAAATATACCCCAGACAAGTTTGCAGCTGCATCGTGTCCTCCCCTCGCAGCTGTCAGCAACACAAGCCCAGCCTCCGGGGGGGGCCACTGAGGGGGCCTTCACCAGCCGAAAACAGGCAACTGCTAACCTGTCACTCCACGTCATGCCTGCGCTACCCGGGGGGCTGCTTGCATGACCTAACACTTATCTTGCTCAGGGCATGTGGGATTAGAAGTGAAGCATCAAAAAAGGTTTTGTTTTGGATTTTTTTTTTAAGCAAGAAGTCAGGAAAAAGGAGGAAGGAAAATTCTGTGGCAATAGTAAGGCAAAGCCATGGGTTTGGCCCGTCTGACCAGCTTGTTTTTCAGCCCTTATTCAGTCCTGGTTTAATACCTCATTAGAATAATAAGTCATTAGTTACCTGACAGAGAAGCCTTTCTGGTTACATTTAAGTAGTCCAGTGTTCAGGCTGAGGATATCAAATGGGCTTGAAAAGGGTTTGGTTTTGTTTTTCCAGAAGTTTATTTCAAAAGTGTGCAAATGAGATACATGGATAGCACTGTAATTCTGCTACACCTGATCCACAGACCCCCCAACTGCCCTTCTGTCTGCGCCCCACCCCTCCCGCCCCCCTCAACACTAAATGAAAGATCTGGGATGTATCAACAATTCGATTATAGCTAGCGGAGACACAGAGCTCAGCTTGCCCAGTGTCTTCAAGCAGGGAAATAAGGCTTCTCTAGCTCACCCACAGCTCAACATATGGTGCTACCACGGTAACTAGAAAATAACATTTACTTGAACGATGAGGGTGGCACGACGTGCTAGGGGCTGCTGTGCTTTCCTGCGTGGGCACCCATCCTCTGGGGATCTTGAGACGGGTAGTGAATGGGGCCAGGGGCTCTCATGAAGGGAGGCGGGGGCCCCATGGCGTGGAACATGTGTGGTCCGAAACCTGCAGAAACAAGTTGGCAGCTTCAGACAAAGCGACAGAACAACCAATGCAGATGTACTACTGCTTGAAACTACCAACAGAAAACGGCTAGCTTACAGCTCTGCCTTGGAAAGGTGCACATCTCCCATGGTTCTTCAAATTCCCATACTCCTTCTCCTCTTTCCAGTACAACTGGGGGCAATCCTTACCCAACACACGTCCTTACTCACAGATAAAAGCTGGGGGGAGGGGGGGACAACACCAGACAGGTGTCTGTAATGCCTTCTAAATGCTTTCTACTCAACCATGGAGCAAAGCAAATACATCCACAAAAGTCTGACTTCCCATAAAAAAAAAAGGGTCTCTGGATAGATACTTACACACAGCCAAACTGCTGGTTTTGGCTGGGGTAGAGTTAATTTTGTTCATAGCATCTGGTATGGGGTTGTGTTTTGGATTTGTGCTGGAGACAGTGTTGATAATTCAGGGATGTTTTAGCTACTGCTGAGCAGGGCTTACAGAGTCAAGGTCTTTTCTGTTCCCCACCCCACCAGCGAGGAGGCTGGGGGGTGCACAAGGAGTTGGGGGGGGGGCACAGCCAGGACAGCTGATCCCAGTGACCCAAGGGATATCCCATACCATACGACATCATGCTCAGCATACAAGGCTGGGGGAAGAAGAAGGAGGGGGAGGGACATTCAGAGTGATGGCATTTGTCTTCCCAAGTCACCGTTAGGTGTGATGGAGCCCTGCTTTCCTGGGGATGGCTGAACACCTGCCTGCCCATGGGAAGCAGTGAATGAATTCCTTGTTTTGCTTTGCTTCCTTGCCCAGCTTTTGCTTTACCTATTAAACTGCCTTTATCTCAACCCATGAGTTTTCTCACTTTTACCCTTGCAATTCTCTCTCCCATCCCACTGCGGCGAGTGAGCGAGCAGCTGCGTGGGGCTTAGTTGCCGGCTGGGTCTAAACCTCGACAAAAACGCAGGCTGGCATTCAACCAGATGCAAAATTACCCTTTGAAGTTCAGGTTAATGCGGCATTTACAGAGCCAGCAAAAGCATGAGTAGGTCTCAGTACCAGTAACAGGGATCTCTGACATGCCTGAGAATTTGCAAGTGAATACATACCAAAACAGGCAGCTCAGTTTCATTAAACTGTGCTGACAGCTCATTTTAGATCATTGGTTTACACTGTATGATTAGGGATGAGGAAAATCAACTCAGGGCACGCATCAGTGCTACAGCACAGCTGAGCAAGGAAGACCACATCATCTAACACCAAGTTAGACACCAACACTTGAAGGGGAAACACAACTACCTGGAGGTGGTGGCGGAGCAATGCCGGGAGGAGGTGGCAAGGCAATGTTAACCACGGCTGGAGGGCCACTTGGAGGTAGGTTGAAGTAATTTGCAGAAGCCTCCTCTTCTGCAGCTGGAGGAGGGGGGAGAGCTGCAGAAAAAGTAAACGGTGGTTACGGAAAATCTCTCAAGTCAAGATATGCAGAGGTATCTGCCTTCAGAGAGGAGGCACAAGCAGTTCTTCCGCAAGGGCAAACTGGTGCTACTATTGCACGTATGAACTGGAACGAGAAGCAGAACCACACTGAAACTCCAGAATAGCCACCATTTTTCTTCATGCAAAGCCAGGTTTGCTTTTTCCATCATACAATGCTCAGTGAATTAGGAAAACATTAATCAAGCTTTGAAAAGTGTGGGTTGCCAGTCTCTCAGACCTAAGTAACTTTAATTTGGCTTTAACTTTTCACTCATTACATAAAGCACTCTTTTTTCATTAAGGATTTCCT